TGTAAATAACAAGAATAAATTCAATCATTTTTTATATTACAGAAATTTATCAAAGTGTTCATAAAAACTTATGAATATCATGTTTCTCTTCCATTAAACTTTTTTTGTTTTTGTTGATATATTGAACATTAGAAAGTATGTGTCGCCATCTTTATTTGTGTTTCGTTTTTTTATAATTCGCGTATTGTAAAAATCCATTTTTTACTCTTTGCTTACTTATATCGTGTATCGTTGCATTTTCAGAACCTTCAAATTGTTTGAATAAAATCGATTGTTTTCTTCAAAATATTTTCACCACAATCATTGCTATCAAATAGAATCTTAAAATTTTTCGTAACATTTATTCTGACTAACAGATCCTGCAGTCATTTATTTTCTCTTCATTTACTATCATCTAAAAGATTTCATATAATAAAATAAATTATATTTCTAGATCTGATATTTCAATTAAAACAAAAAGAATGGATGACGAAAATATTGAAAAATATATTCAACATATAATCGATATAAAAGAAACAAGTTTAAATTTAAGTAATCGTTCGTTACGTGCTGTACCATTTTCTGTTAGTTTATGTTCATTTCTTCAGAATCTCTATTTAAATAATAATGAACTTATTATTCCGCCTACGGAACAATTATCATCATTGATCAATTTAGAAACTCTTTCATTAGAACACAATCAACTAACAATTTTACCAGATACATTATGGAATTTAACATCATTAACACGTTTAAATCTTAGTCATAATCCACTTGGTCAAATATCATTACAATTAGGTCAATTAAAAAATCTTCATGAATTATGGTTAACAAATATAAATTTATATGATATACCATTAAATATATTTAATAATTTAAATCAATTAGAAAAATTATCACTAAAATCAAATCATTTGCGACGATTACCAACCGATATAGGACATTTAATAGAACTTCATTGGTTAAGTCTTGAAGATAATGAATTAAATGATTTACCAGATTGTTTACAAGATTGTCTAAATTTATCGTATCTTAATTTAAATGGAAATCATTTTATTCATATTCCATCTGTTATTGGAAAAATTTCATCATTAAATATTGTTTGTTTACAACGAAATGCTATTGCCGAAATAGATGATGATACATTATTAATGTTTTCAAATATGACAAAAGTTGATCTAAGAGAAAATCCATTAGTTGATAAACCGAAACATTGGAAAGTAAGATTCAAAAGACAATAAAAAGATTAACTAAAAACAAAACTTCTTTTTAGGGTTTAGAATTTATTAAAGTTGGCCGTTGTATTGATGTAACTTCACTTGATGAAGAGAATGATGAAAATTGTTCTGAATCATTAGGTTCTAGTCAAGATGGCAATGTAGAGTAAAGTTGTTTTACTGATTATAATGTGATAAATATTTTTCCTTTCACTTTTTGTAACTGTTTATATTTTATTCCCGAACAAATCGATAAAAATAACTGAGTATTTTGGTGCTTTTTTTTAGCATGCATTTTTATTGAAACATTGATATGAAAGTGAGAATAGTTGTCAGCTGATATGATATACAAAACAAAGAGAAAAGATATTTTTTTCATCGAAAAGTAGAAGTTGATGGATGAAACATTGAAAAGAATTTCATTTGTTTTACATAAGAAATGTATTTGTAACCTAGATAAACTCGCATTTGTATATTTGACACATTATTCCTTTTAACATTATATGTTTGTTCATATTTTCTGATATAAAGAACAGATATTTCTTTTTTGTTGTTATACGTATGAAAAAAGTAAATACCACGAGAGAAATATCACTCTTAGTGTTGTGTATAAATCAATCACTATTTAGTTACACTTTGTTTTTTTAGATGAACTATGGAAAAGATTCTTTATTATTAGGTTTCTATTAATTTCATATAAGAAAGAAAACAAATAGAAAATCGATGATGAGTGACGATGGAAAACCTACAGGTGATGAAAAAACAGCATCAAGTAACAAGGTTTGTTTTGTCAAAAATATATTCTATAGAAAAAAAAGTATTTATTTTGAAATATTTTAGCTTGAATCAATGTCACAAGATGAATTAATAAAATTAGTTAAAAGTCAAATTTTATTAAAGAAAAAACTTGAATCTAAAATAAGTGATTTACAAACTTCTAATATAAGTTTATGTCAAACTCAAGAGGTTTTTATACAATTTTCAAAAAAAAAAACAATTTTTCATTCACTATCATTGTTTTTTTAGCAACTTCGTAATGAATTCGAAGATGAACAATTAAAAACGAAAAACTTAATCATCGATCTTGATCAATATAAAATCAATGAATCAAAACTTCAACAAGAACTTAATGTAAGATCATTTCATAAATTTTTCTGTTATACTTCATTTTGTTTTACAGATATCACGTGAATCATCAGAATGTTTACAGTTACAAAATGAATCATTGAAATCATCATGTAAAAATCTTCAAGATGAAGTATCGGTAACTACAAACATTTTATTCTTGATCCACATTTGCATATATATATATATATATATGTTATTTATAATTTAGAATCTTCAAAATGAACTTTCAAATCTTCGTTCATCCTCAACTAATGCTGTGCAAGATTTAATCAATAAATTAACTGAAACTCAAAATACGGTTGAAAACCTTCGAAATGAACAACATTCAGTTGAACAAGAGAAAATTCATCTAAAACAGTCTATTGAAAGTTTAGAATTGGAAATCCATGATTTAAGATTAAAAGTTAGTTCTTTTGATAAAGATAAACAATTAATGGAAGAAGAACTCAATAACTTAAGATCTCAATTAAGTACATCTGATAGTGATAAATTGTTAAGTGAAGAATTAAATGAACTAAGATTAAAATCCGATAAAGAAAAACAATTAATGGAAGAAGAGCTCAATAATTTAAGATCTAATTTGAGCACATTTAATAAAGATAAACAGTTGATGGAAGACGAACTCAATGAGTTAAGATCTAAATCAAGTACATTTGACAACGATAAACAATTATTAGAAGAAGATCTCAACCACTTAAGATCAAAATCGAGTACATTTGATAAAGATAAACAACTATTGGAAGAAGAACTGAACGATCTCAGATTAAAATGCAGTTCGTTTGATACGGATAAACAATCAATGGAAGAGGAACTGAACGATCTCAGATTAAAATGCAGTTCGTTTGACAAGGATAAACAATCAATGGAAGACGAACTGAACGATCTCAGACTAAAATGCAGTTCATTTGATAAGAATAAACAATCAATGGAAGAGGAACTGAACGATCTCAGATTAAAATGCAGTTCGTTTGACAAGGATAAACAATCAATGGAAGAGGAACTCAATAGTTTAAGATCAAAATTAAGTATACTTGATAAAGATAAACAACTGATAGAAGAAGAATTCAATAATTTAAAATCAGAAAGAAGTTCATATGATAAAGATAAACAAATTATGGAAGAAGAACTCAATGAATTAAGAACTAAATTGAACACATTTAATAACGATAAAAAGTTGATGGAAGAAGAAATCAATGCTCTAAGATCAAAATCCTGTTCATTTGATAATGATAAACAATTAATGGAAGAAGAACTCAATTACTTAAGATCAAAACCCAGTTCATATGATAACGATAGACAGATTATGGAAGAAGAACTCAATAACTTAAGATCTCAACTGAGCACATTTAAGAAAGATAAACAGTTAATGGAAGAAGAACTTAATGATTTACGATTAAAGACCAGTTCATTCGATAGAGATAAACAATTAATGGAAGAGGAACTCAACAACTTACGATCAAAATTAAGTACATGTGATAACGATAAACAATTACTAGAAGAAGAATTCAACAACTTAAGATCCAAATTAAGTACATATGACAACGAGAAACAGTTGATGGAAGAAGAACTCAATGGTTTAAGATCAAAACAGAGTATATTTGATAAGGATAAGCAAATAATGGAAGAAGAAATGAATAATTACCGGAAAAAAATAGAAACTTTTGAAATAGAAAATACTGAATTAAAGAATACTCAACAACGATTATTAGAAACTCCAATGCATCAATCAAATGAAAATTTTGATGAAATTATTTCTCAACATATCGATTCTTTTCTTAATCGTACTGACGAAGAAGCACAACATATATCAAAGATATTATCAGATATTCCAACATTACTTCAATCAATGAGAATAACAAACTATAAAAGTGAAGAGTTTTCTAATCAATTAAATCTTGAAAGTCTTCTTCGTTTATGTTCATTATTAATTGAAAGATGTGAAGTTTTACAAAATGATAATATATTAAATAATTCATCAATAAATAAGGAACTTCTTTCAATTACTCAAAATGATAATTATGAACAATGCCGATTATTAATTCATCGACAAGATCATCCTGGATTAGATACACTTTTTCAATATCTTCATTCATGGATGAATCAATCAAATGATTCAAATGATTGGGAACTTTGTCTGGCGAAACCCATTGATCAGGTAGAAGTTCAATAAATACATTGAGAGCAAAAGAAAATTCAGAAAGTTAAAATAATTTTCTATTAATTTCATGCATAGAAAGGGAAAAAAGAGGACCAAATCATAAAGATTCATATTAGTGTCTAATGCTGGTAATACTTGATTAACATTCGTAAAATTTGTCTTGTGAAACTTCATATTTAAAAGACAAGTCAATAAATGTAACTTTACAGGAATCGGCAAAGCATATTTTATAGGGCTTTTTTTGAATTTAAAATTAGGCGAGAAAAAGTTGATTGTGAACTGAATACTATTTATTTTTGTATTAACAAGGATTTTCTAATGAGAGGCTCTTCTATTCTACTGTTACATAATCATTCGCTTACGAAGAAACACATTGCATTGTCGAGCGCCGTTCGACTTTGCATTGAGACTAAGAATAGGTCTTGGTTAGTTTAAGAAAAGTTTAAAAGGATCTGTGTTCAAGATCTACTGTTCAAGAGTTATGGCCATTTGAATGAATTTTTTTACTGAAAACAAGTCTTTGTCAAAAAATTTGAAGCAGAAAGTTTCAAGCTGAAATTATGTCTATAGATAAATTTGATAGTCATTAGATTGTTCTGAAAGTTTCAACAAAGATGATTATGTCTTTCTCAAAGTATTTAATTTCCAAGTAGACTTGCGTACCTTTTTCTCCTACGATAGACCACTATGTTTCTAACTATTGAATATTTTGCAAAACCCATATTTGTTTTGTTGAAATTTTTCAGAACTGTCTGATGATTGTGAAAAATTTCTATACACATAATTTCAGCTCGAAGCTCTTAATTTTGAATTTTTCAAAAATATCTTCCTTCCAGTGAAAGTTTCATTAAAACAGTTATAACTCTTCTATAGTAGGCTATGAGTCCAAATCTTTTCAAGTTCTGCTTAGTTTCACCGAAACTTATTTGTAGCCATAATGTGAAGTCGAACAGCATTCGACAGTTGAATATGTTTCTTCGTTATGGCATTTGTTTCTTAAACATCAAAAACTAGTTAGTCTTGATATAGTACAGTCTGGGTTTTCGGAAAACTTGAAGTATTCAGAGATAAATTTCAAAATTCTTCGAAATCTGTTTTTCAAAAAAAAAAACACGGTAAAAATGTTGAAATTATCGTATAATGCCATACAATTTTTTTTCTAGAGCACAAATCCATACATTCGATTAGAATTAAATGATTTCAAATTTGTTCCCGAACAAATCGAACATGAACTTACACAAGTACGTTTTCAACTTGATCAATTATCAAAAGAGAATGAAGAACAACGCTGTGAAATTGCTAATTTCGAAGAAAATCTTCGTTCTTTTGAACAATTAAAAGAACAATATGCAGAAAAATGTGAGAAAACAAATCAATTACAAAATTTTATTAATCAAGAAACTATTGGTTTGTCTTTATCATCTATTTTCTTTAACTTTCATCATATTGTTTTGTTTCTCTATTAGATAAAATGAAATTTGATCAACTTGAATCATTATATAAAGAACTTCAACAAAAATATGTTCATCTCGAACAAATCAAATCTGAATATGATTTATTAAAAGAAAATTTCAATAGAACAAATCTTCAATTACAAGATCAACAAGAAAAATATCAAATTGAAATAGTTAATCTTCAAAATGAAATAAAACAACAACAAGAAAAATTTGATAATAAAAATCATATTCATGATGAACGTTATTCATCATCATTAAAACAAACACAACAATTAAGTGATTTACTTGAAACAGAAAGAAATGAAAATAAAAAATTAAAAACTATCAATCAACAATTAGAAAATGATTTAAAAGAGAATAATCAATTATTTTTTGAAAAAACTAAACAAGCCGATGATTTAGATAAACAATTACAAACAATAAATAATGAATATCAAAGTTTAAAAATAAAATTTGATCAAATAAAAGATGAAAAAACTAAATTTATGAATGATATTAATTTACTTACGGAAAAAATACAAAATTTCGAAATAGAAAAATCTGAATATTTACAAGTAAAACAAAAAATTTTGTTTTCATTTTTCATAAATGATTTATCTTTTAAATAGATTATTAATAATTTAAAACAAGATCTAGAAGATAACAGATTAAATTCTGATCAAATGATAAAAAAGATTAAAGAAGACAGTCATCAAGAAAAAATTCAAATGGAAAATAATCTACAAAAAGTATGTTGTTGAATAACTGTTTAGATAAGTTCAGAAAAATTAAAAGTATTCTATCAATAACTTAAGCTTATTTACAATGTCACTTAATATTGCTTTTTTTTGTGTAACTTTCTTTCATCTAATTTTTATGGATAATTAAAACTGTGATTCAATCGAAGTTATTTAGGAAGCTATCGGTTAACAAAACATATATATTCATTCAAGATTAAAAGAAACTATTTTTGTATAATCATGCTTAACTTATCTTTTGACTCACGACGATACATATTCAATCATCGAACATTGTTTGACACTCAAATTTTGACTATACAATTATTTTAGTAGGTTCTTGGTCTTATGAGCGAGCATTTCATGGAAAACTCAATTAAGAGGTTTTCATATGAAAACTTGTTCATAGATAGGGTTTCATAATCATTAGAATATCCTGGAAGTTTCAACTTAAATGAGTGCATTATTTCAGAGATATCAAATGTTGGAGACAATTGGATTGTAGCACTTGCTTTGTGATATTTAAATATGCGTTAGACACTCAATATCTCAAGAAAAATCTGTTCATTGGAGTTGAGATATTTATAATATTCTAATGTGTGTGAGAATTATTTATGGACGAAACTTCATACGAAAATCTCAAAGTTGTGTATTTCATGAATAGTTGACTCAGAGATAAAAAACTGACTAAAACGATCACAGATCCATAAAAAAGAAAAACAAAGCCAAAAATAGAGAATTTAAAATTTATTTTGTTTTAGACGATTGAAAATCTTAAACAAGACTTACAAACTACAAAAAATGAACTCAAAAATCATCAATTAGAATCAACTGAAGGAAAAAAATTAATTCTTGAAAATGAACAAATTCAAATAAATAATCTTCGATCTGAATTAGAAAATTTTCAAAAAGAAAATGAAACATTGAATCAAACTATTAATGAATTAAATCAGAAACTTGAAAATCAAATAATTCAATCCAATGCACTAATTCAAGTTCGTCATAAGTTTTTCTTTTTTACAATTAATATTATTGAATTAATTTCTTTTTTCTAGGATCATCAAGAAAAACAACAAAAAATGAAACTTTTATTATCACGTCTTAAAAAAGAATTACAAGAAAAAACTCAACAACCAAAACAAAGTTTAATCGATCTTGAATTAGCTGATTATGAAAAAACAATTAAAACATTAAAAGATAATTTAACACATAAAGATAAAGAAATTCAAGATTTACGTGATGAATTAACAAGTATTAATGAAAAAAATCTTTCTCTTAAACAAGAAATGGAAAATTTAGAACAATTAAAATTACAAACAGAAGAACGTGCTGATAAACTTAAAACATTATTAGATACAACTAAAAGAGATCTACAAAATGCTAAAGATCTTGAACAACAAAGATATCAAAATGATGATAATCTACGAACATTATTTGATAAATTACAAATTGAATTAGATAATAATAAAGTAATTATTAGTCAATTACTTTCGGAAAAACAACAATTAGTTGGTAAAATATTTGAATTGATTTTTTATTAAATTTTATAGTTTTCATTTTTCTTTTAGAACGATTAAATAATCAAAGTGAAACAAATCAGAAAACAATTAATTTACTTGAACAAAATTTACATATTGCAAAACACGAGTTGGATATAGCTAAACAGGACAAGTTAGTTGTTTCTTTTTTTTCTATATAGAAACATTTTCATAATTTTATTTATTTTTAAGAGAAACACTTCAAGATGATTTTAATAATTATAAAGTAAGTCTAAAATGCGAACAATCATATCTTAATTAAGATCATAAGGTTCTATAAACTATTCGAGAGAAAAATAGTAAGATCTGATATGTTAGATATGTGTCTAGCTTTAGTCGATTCTATTGACTAACTTATGATTTGAATGTTTATAACTAATTCATATTTGATTGAACGATGAACATCAATAAGAAGTCATGTACCAAAGACGTTTAGGTGAAAGTCGGATATTTTCACCCTCGTCGTCCCTGTGTCCAGATTTGTTCAGTATCATCAAATCCTTTTCCACTCTGAACGTTCATCATAACAAAAAAAAAACGACTTACAGAAAAGACATGCGTATTCTAATATACTGCTTCTTTTTCTGGAATTTTCTTATATTTTCAAAGAAAATAATACAGTAACTAGGATTAAATGTGTTGAATGATATTAATAATAAAGCTTTGAAGGCTCTCGAACATTCCAAAACCTTCCTTGCAATTTAAATTACTAGTATGATCTTTGAAAGATTCATCATTTGTTGTATTTTCTGTTGGTATAATGTAGCTAAATAAGCCATAGGAGTTCCATATTTCAGTCTCAAAGAAGCTCCACTAACAAGCTTTGTATTAAATAACTATATTAAAAATAGAAATGAAAAAATGTATACTTCATAAACAAGAAACAAACACCTGTTAACCTATTAAAAAGCTTTTGTTTTTAAAGTATATATTATATTTCATTGAGAAGGAAATAGTAAAAACAAAAAAATGAAGTTCAATATCAATGCTATCCGAAAATATGAAAACATTTCTATGACTACTCGACGAACTTACTATCTACTTGAGTAGGATGGTCTTCAATTATTTCAACATTGTATTCATATGCAACTAATTCACATTCAGTTCATGTTGTATATAAAAATGTACTTCAAAACAAACTCAGCTTGAAATTTTTATGGAAGATTGTGAAAAAAACAAGGAAATATTCATAATAAATGTCTGGATGTTTAGTAGTGTTTGACTAATCCTCTCCTCTGCTTATCTTTTATGGATGAACTCAAAATCAGATCGATTTTCATGGTAGGAGTATTCGTTTTCTTTTATTGATATTTAACCTCATTGTTGACAAATAATGATGAGAGTTGACATAGACAGAAAAAAGCTCTAACTTGAGCATTTGTAACTGAGATAATAAGGATTTGCCTTTAAAAAAATCATATTTTAACTTCTATCCCATTCCTATTACTTTGAAGTTAATTCATTTTAGAAATCTTTAATCTTTCACAGATAGCTATGAATGTTTTATCTAGTTTTTGTCTTCATAGTGACATACATATTTAATATCACAATATATGACTAACAGACAGATTTACCATTATTGTTGCATTCTATTAATGAAAACTAATTACTTAAGAACTATGTTATCAAAATAGAAAGATATGAATATTCTAGTACGAAAAGAATAACTAATATTTTATTTTATCATGTATTCCCAACAAAGATGTAAAGGTTAATAATCGTTAGATTTTTCGTTTACATTTCTTAAGTATTGTGTAGAATTTGTTGACAATTTTGTAAAATAATACAATTGTATTTTTGTGAGTTCCTACTGTAATTGAAATTATTCTTTTATGTTGTTTTTTTTCTTGTTTATTAATCAAGATACGAGCACAAAGTGTTCTTAAACAACAATCGACTCAACGTGAACGTATACCACCAGTAGCTGATAAACAAGCTGAACTAGAAGAAACAATTGAAAAATTAAAAACAGCTCTTCGAGAAGCAAAGTAGAGAAAATATCTTCTTATCTTTATTAAATTCTAAATGAATATATTTAGTAATAAAATTCAATTATTAAAATCTGAAAATGAAATATTACAAAAAGAACAAGATCGTATGAATGAAGTACAAACTAAAATAATTAATGAATCAAGAAAACGTGAACAAGATCTTCGAAAACAAGTTTACAAATCTTTTTTTATCTAATCATAAAGTTTTGTTTTTTTGTCATTTTTTTTTTTTTAAAGCATCAAATGGAACTTGAGAAGATGGAAAATGAATGTTTAAAACGAACGAATGATAGTCATGATATGATGAAAAGTGTTACACTTCAAAATGAAACACTTTCGAAAACATTTAAGGTAATATCTAATTTATTTTCTAACATATAAATTATATCATTGTTTTATTCAAGGAACAAATAGCTGCCATTGAAACTGATCATGAACGTTCAATATCAATTTTACAAAATCAATTACAAGCATCAAAACAAGAAATTGAACAATTTAAAAATCGTATTGAATTATTACGACAAACAAATGTTGATAATGACAAAGAATCTTCTCAAATAATATTGAATAATGATATTAATAAAGATGAAATTCCATGGACTTTTTCAGAACGTCAACAAGGCGAAGTAATTAAACTATTTTCTATCACATTGTTCTACAATACTATTTGATTGTTTATCATAATAATCGACAATGCAAAAGTAATTGCTAATATCTCGAACAATAATTCTTCATTTAATTTTGGCATGAACTTTGAATGAGAACAAAGTCTGATATATCGAATGTCGTTAAAAAAGCTCTTGTAACATACTTTTTTTTCTTTATATTTTTCTTAAATCTGAAGAAAAAGTTTTTCTTAAAGACCAAATAGATGAGGATGTGGTCTTTACAAAACTTTATCGACTTTGATATTTTAGAAATTCTCTCAATAATTCTTTAACAATAAATAAAGCATATTATACGTCTTAGTTTTAATAGCAAATAGCATTCTATATGAAAAAAACATAGAACATGAAGAAAAATTCTTTATTCAGAGCTTAAACATTTTATTAAAGGTTACAGCTGATCGATTTGAATTTATTGAGAACTCATTGTTGTTTTAGAAAATATCTTATAGAAAAAGAAGGAAAGTTCGTTCTGTATCTGAAAACTATTGCTTAATTTAGATGAGTTATTTTTTGAAATTAATCAAAAACTTGTAAAGCTTCCATTTTAATGTGAATTAAAACATATTTTGTCATAGCCCATCTGAACGAATGATAAAAACAGTTCTAGTTTATTTAATTATATAAATTCAAACATAATCTGTTATATATCAAAAGAAATATTTGATACGAGAGATACATTTAAAATGAATAGAAGTTGCCACAACTTTTTTTGATAACGTTCGATACCAAGTTTTTTTCTTGTTCAAAGTTAATCCAAAAACAAATTGTTCCCTATGTTCTTTTTCAAAGTTCAGCTTATTCTCTTTCAACCAGAAAATAAATGAATTCTCTCCGATGTTTTTGAGTGGAGAACCATAGATCGAAATTTCAATAGTTACTTTTGTATTGCATGATAGAAATGATGAACAACAGTTTGACTTCAATGAGATTAGAGTAATTAAATAATCAAAATTATCATTAAACGAACAAATTTATTTTAGAAATTAAATAATTGAATGAGACCCTTATTACACAGCCATTCACAAAAGAGTAAAATAACATGAGTTCTTAGAATAAAACTGCATCTATTTCAACTCCATTAATCTCTTATGAATAACTTTTTTTTAAATACGAAATAACATGATAATTAACAAAAACTTATAAGATTGTTAAGTATTCATTTATTTCTTCTAACATAAGTCATTAGATCATGCGACGAAAATCTATGAGTTTTCTTAATAAAGCAATTACTTAATGATCTACGCAATACAAAAATGAGCAAAGTTGTATGACATAAGGTAGTATCTGTTACAGTTTTATGCCAGACTGAATCGAGAATTGCACGAAAAATTCAAATATGAAAAGAAATATACAGTAGAAAAGATATCATGGAAAGTTATGAGACGATTTTTTCGTCTTGTGCTGTATTCTGCAGTATATTATTGCTCAGTCACCCTGTTTTGCAGAACTCAAGGCTGGAGATCAAAAACTTCTTCCTGCAGGACATATTTTATAGAACAAACCGCTCTTCTGTAGGGACAATCTTGTCATTATACTTTTTACAAGGTTAAAACTTATATGAGTATGAGATTCAATGTCAAATATTATACAAGTACTATTGATATACAAATCAATTACAATAGTCATGTTAATAAACTTTATCATACGTTTGCAAGAAGAAATAAAATGAACAAAAAAATATTGACATCCATAAGATGAACAAAAGAATAAGAGACAAAATATAAGGATGCAGGCTTCGCCATGTAATCAGTATAAACAGATGACAAAGACGAATGATATGTTTACTTTTTACTGCTTGTTCTTGAATTCTTGATATGAACAAATAAATATTATGTTATCAATTTGATGTGATCATAAATATATTCATCTTTGAGTAAACATCAATCTAGCTGAGTTCAATAATTTATCTATCGAAGCACTGATAACTGGCATGACTTGTACTCTTCTAGCTACCATTGATAATAATGAAAAATCATCACGCGTTTCACTACTAAGTTAGAAGTCCATTGTATCGTGATCAATTAGGTGACTTGATTGTCCTGCAGGTCTTGCATATTGTATGACGGTCTCTATCAGACATTGCTAATGTTGTGTCTTGTAGAACTTGTTTAATTTGCCAGTTTTTTTCAATTGAATCTTTTCGTATTTATTTTAACAGAATAATAATTTATTTGTTTTTTGTTTTCAAAGGGATCTGAATCAGCCAGTATTGATTATCAACCACCTGATGTTGCTGTTAAAACTTTAGAAAACGTTTTATTCGGTAATACTCAGACTCCACAATCGCCATCATCCAATTTGGAAAAACCTCGTCATATACTTTTCGAAGATGTTGAATTAGAACGTCAACGTATTGAAGAAGAACTTAATAAAGCCAAATATCGTTTACTTAATACAACTGAACTTCTTAATGAATCAGAATTAAATAATGTACGTTTAAGTGAACAAGTATCATTACTTAAAGATGAAATACGACGTATTGAACGTAATATGGATCGTGCTGAATCAATATCAAATTTAGAATATTTAAAAAATATAATTTTAAAATTTTTTATATTAAAAACTACACATGAACGTTTACAAATAATACCTGTTCTTGTTACAATGCTTAAGCTAAGTCCTGATGAGCAAGCTAATCTTGTTCGTGTCGCACAACAAACAACATCTATTGTAGACACTTCATCAAACAGTGAACCTAATGCACAACAAGTCACTAATAGTGCTAATTCAAATTCTTCTTCTTCTTGGGGTTCTTATTTAAATATTTGGTGATACATTTCTTTTTTTTTTATTATCTATGTGATAGAAATTTGCTTGCAAAGGAGAAATAATAAAACGAGACGTCTTTATTACTTTATTATTTATTGTATTTTCTTTCATTTTACTTTTTTTTTCTGTTGTTTCTTTTATTTCTATTATGAGCAAAAAGAATCTCATCAATGTCTTTAATTGCTTTTAGGCAATCCTAGATATTTTTATGCTCTTTTTCTATAAAGATAATGAAAAAAAGATGGCAAGTGAAGTCTTAGACATGCACATAAAGACAAAGATTAAACTATGTAGAAAGAGAAAAATATCTTCGACATTTTTCGACATTATGCCATCAACTTCTATCCTATATGTTTTATGATTTTACTCTACAATCAATCTAAAATAGAAAAGAAGAATATAATCAATTTTTCACTTCTGTATTGAATAGAGTTACTTTCCATCAATGTTCTATTAGAACTTCTTTTCTATATGATATGATTAAAAAAGCAACTTATGCTAAAACATAAGAAAACAAGAGCTAAGTATTGTCACTATTTAAATCATTAATAATGAAGATTTGGTTTTTCATCAATTTAATACTATTCGACAGTGCTGTCAAAATTCATGAGTATGAAAATCATGAAAGTAATGAAACCTAAATGGTGGACGAACTGTAAACGCATTCATCTTCAATTCTGATCTTTTATGCTTCTTTATCAAGATTAGATAATAATGTCATAAACAAAAAGATTACTAAGGACTGAATGCTAGTTTCCAACACTGCAAAAGATCGGATGCACAAAATAATAGCTATATTGACTATCATCAGTACAATCTGATGTGTATCATTTTGCGTTTAACTATATATATATATATAAGACTATAATATATACGCATCATCTTCTGAAAATACAATGATCATCATTAATTCTGCAACACTATATCATGAATCGTTGTCTCGAGCTATACACTCATTGACGACTATAGTCTAAAGCCTGCTATTTACGCTCCGTCATATAAAACGTAAGCAGAAATAGGAAGAGAAGCGAAAAAGAACTAAAAAAACCAAGAAAATATAATGTAAGGTGACTCGGTACTTTTTTTTCTCTTTCTCTTTCCTATTTATTTCTCGTTCAATGCCTATGCTAGAAATAGCAACATTGTTCAATAGAGTCGTCATTTTTCTTCAATGATGACGAATATCCCTATTAATTTGACATAAACAAAGTTCGAAAGATTTTTTTTTTCTGTTATTGATATAGGATTTATTTATTTTAATTTTTACATATTTTTTATTATTACATATTAAATCAAGTCCCAGTATGTCTAGTGAAGTTTCTACTGACGTAGTAGTATTATCATCGAAACCAATTGAATCAAGATGGTTGACTGTATCTAACTTACCTGAGACAGCTACTGAAGAAACTATTAAAGAATGTTTTGAACGGTAGAAAAAAAAATAAATAAATTCTATGAAAAAATTTATTTATTACTATATATTTAGACATGGTCATGTTCAAACAGTTAAAATTAACGATCAATGTGTTGCTTTTGTTACTTTTTCGGACATATGTTCTGCATCAAAAGCACATCATGCAGAAAATATTCTGGATAAAATACAATTACAAACAAAATTTCATGATAGTTCAAATTCAACTTCTAAAATGCGTATAGAAGTATCTTCCTCAATTATTGAACCATTTTCATCATTGCCTTGCAGTATAAAAACAGTGACTAATAAATTGATGGATAAAACAATAACAGCAATACATAACGATCAAGATAAATATTCATTATGTTCTACTAATAGTCTGGAGGAAAATACTCGGTTGGTGTATTTTTCATTCATTTTCTACCTTAGTGATGAATTGTTATTAAAGATAGACACAAACAATATTAGATTTTAATAAAAAAAACTAATTTGTTTGTTCAATTTCATTATAGTATATTACTAAGAGATTATTTTCGACTTATTTTTTAAAAGAAAAGCATGATAGTTTGAAAAAAGAACCTAGCAAAATTAGAATGTTGCCTTCTTCATGGAAAATATGGAGCTACTCATTATTTCTGATGACAGTGTATTATTATGTACTGTAGATAATCAACTCATATTCTTCATATATGTAATCTAAAGCAAAAAAGATTTATATTCATGAGTTATTTTTGCGCAATTTAATACTTTTCGAATCTCATATTAGAGATATTAAGAAAGTTCAAATAACAAAAAGAAGATCAATTCTCTTAAATGTCTAATTTGGTAAAATTTTGAATAGAGAAAAGCATGAGATGCAAGTCGTTGATTATCTAACAAAGTCCTTTTATCAAAAATATGACAATAGCTTCGAAATATAATAGAAATATTATTCAATTTAAGATTACATCTTTAAAAACAAACATTCTTAATATATCACTTCAACGAAATAACATTTAATAAACATCTCATCATTGCTTGTGTCAGAACTGGATTGCATTTGAAATATGATCTATGACGTTGTTTACGTTCTCTTCTGGAACATTTAACAACAACAGATGTCTAACGAGCCTATGGAATATGTCAATGTAATGAGTTGTTTTGTCCTTCAGTATTTCTGTTCTATTGAATACTTACTTGGACTTAAGAGGAAAGGGCTCCATGTGTGATGCATCGATTAAATCGATATTTCACTCACAAGTCTCAATAAGACCAGAAGAAAATGTATAAGAATTCGTCTCCATCAGCTCTTCTTCTCAAGCTCGACTGTTTTTCTGTACTTCCTGCCTTAGGCAAAACATTTATAAAAACACCCAATTATAAAATTTTGATTTGAAATTTTGTGCACAAATAAATTCTATGATCATTAGAAGGTTTTCTTCTTCACATATTACATGTTGAAGGCACTAATGTCCTGAACTTTCCTTATAGCACATATCGGTTTTTGATTATTCAATGGCTCAAGACGATGACATTCTAATGACCATAGAATCTATTCGCGCACAAAATTCAGGTTACGATTTCATCATTGGGAGTTTTTATATATGTTTTGTTTGAGGCAGATATAATACAAGAAAATGTTTGAATTTGACAAGCAGAGCATAAAGAGACGAATCCTTTTACACTTCTTCGAATCTTCTTCAGACATACTTGCAGAGAAAATATTGACTTAATCGACACATCATACTTGGAAACCTTTCATCGTTAGTAATTTATTGTTTATCTTGAAATTAAATTTGCATATTTAAATGAATCAATTTGCTAATTTATTATTTAAAAGAAACAAAAAAGATAAATCTTTATAATTATTTTGCTTTATTTCATAGACATCATCTTGTACGTATCAAATATGATTCAGATTCATCAAAAAGTAAACAAAAAACATCATCGATAAATTGTTCTAAGTAATAGAAAAAAAAAGAATGTTTTTATTTAATTAAATTTATATTATTTATTAGAAAAACAGAAATGAAATCTGCACGAGACAAGCATGAAAATTCTTCCTCTTCTTCTTCATCTGAATCTGAAAGATCACGTAACGATAGGTATAATTAGACAAAGGAACATTATCTAAAATAGAAAAAGAATATATATATATATATCAATTTTTTAGTTTATTCAATAAATATCATCGGCAATATACGTCGAAACTAAAACGACAATCGACAAATTTAAATCATATCAAAACGAAAATATTAAAAGTTTATCCATTACCATCGAAAATATCATGTATATTTATTTGTTTTATAAATTTTATTTTATTTGTCTATTTATTTTAGCTGAATCATTACGTAAAAAATTTCGACATATATTTGCTAATTTTAAAAAATCTTCTCATTTACTAAGTATAAAAATAATTGATGACGATGCTTTATTAACATTTAAAAGATCTGAAGATGTTGATAAAGCATTATTATTTATAATAACAAAATCTATTCATGGTATTAGATTACAAGCTGAACCATATAATAATTTAATAAATGGTAAATATTAAACAACAAATAAGAATTTTCTTTTTTGGAAATTTTAATATTTAGAAAATGATTTAATGAAACGTTCAATAAATTCAAATCTTGATATAGATGAATATTCAGTAAAAGCCACACGAACTTTATATATTGGTAATCTTCAACCTGACATATCTTTGAATGAATTACGTGAAATATATTCAACGTATGGAGATATTATTGTAGATATATAATAAATAAGAATTTGATACTGATGATGAAAATCTTTTTTTTTTTGTTTTGTAGGATATTGAAATAAAACGACAACAGCAACAATCTAGGCATCTACAAACATTTGCTTTTATTCAATATGTTGATATAAAAAGTGTAATTAATGCAATGAAAGTATTGAAATCGAAATTGATTCGTGATCATTCAATTAAGGTATAAAATAATAAGAAATTAACTGATCTCGTCTAAGAATAATGCCATATTTTTGATGAACTGAATTATCTTTCTGTTAAAGATTATTGATATTCCATGTCTATTGTATGAGAAACAGAAGCTTCTATTTATGTCACTGATCTTTAACGAGATATATATATGGAACATTCATGTCTCATTTCCTAAGTTAAAAAGCTATTTAAGAAAGATACCGGTAGCTGAGTTTCCGTCCGGTGTTCAACCTTGAGCACAATGCCATACAGCTTCTACATGATATCTTACTAGCTTTTATTGTTTCAATAACCTCAGATTTTTTTTTTCTAATCTGAGCTTTGTATTTCATGACATATATATATATAAACTATAAGAGTCTTTAATAAAAACATATGAAAGCGTCTAACAATACGAATTTTGGTGATGGTAGAAAGGTACATTAATTAACTGAGAATACAAAAGAAAGCTATTCATAGAATCAGTAATCTCAATATTTACCAAAAGAACAGAATTATTATAGTTAGATTATGAATAGAAATTTTTATGACTTAAATCTTAACCAAATAAATTGATCAACTAGAATTTTATATTGACTTGTTTATCTAGACTTTCTCTATGATTAAAAACGTCATTAGATACAAAAATTATTAGAGTGAATTCTTTTCTGTGATAATAAAAAACTATTAATCTTAGCGGAAGTATTTTACACCGCTTGAGTCTTAGCAGAATTCCATATCGAGATTTTCAAAAAACTAGACCGTGTATAATGTAATCTGGAAGTGGAAATCAGTTGGTGACGATCGACTAGATGGAGAATAAAATTTTTTTCTTAATGAATTATTCAATAATAAAACTCAATGTCTGTACCTAAGTTAAAACATATTCAAATAAAAAATTTGGATATTTTAAATAAACAATCAATACAAAAAAATTCATTGTCTTTTTTTAGTATGGTTTTGGCAAAAGTCAACCAACAAATGTTTTATGGATGGATAATTTACCTTCAAATATAACTGAATCAATGTTACGTTCATTTGTAAATGATATAACAAATCTATCATCTGATGAAATTCTTGATATATATATTGATAATCGAAATTATCATAAAACTCATATTGTTCAATGTTTAATCTATTTTATTGATATTATTTCAGCACAACATGCAATTAATTCAATGCGAGGAAAAAAATTTCAATCAAAACGTATTCAAATTGATTTTGCAAGTAAATTATTTATCACAAGATTTTCTGATATTATTCAAGAAATAAATAATAAAAAAAAGTATGTTTCATCTATTTACATATAATTACTGTACTAGACAAAAATATAAGACCAATGTGCGTTTGTTTTCTTTTTTGTATGATACCAAGCATTAAAGTAAAATTTAAAATAATGCTTTCTTTAGCTAATAAAGCTCTCTATCTCTACCAAAGTTTCATAGATGAATTATGAGAAAAAAGTTTCTAGACTATGTGCAAGTTAATTTTAAAAAGTACCATATGAAGGAGCATAAAACGTTGAATAAAATAAGAATTTGACGCATTTTCTACGAGCTTCTCATAAGAAATTAAAAGCTTTACAGCAATCAAAACTATTCGTTTTAATTTTGATGTTCAGCAATCGAATAATAGATCTGGCATTTTTGTGACCCTTATAACCTTTTAAGAAAAGATCGTAGTAAATGCGACACGCCCTAAGTTTATTTTGAATTTTGTGCTTTTCAAGATGATAATCTTAAAACCTAATTTTCGTGCTGTCTTCAAATACCTGAAAATTACCGTGTTTGTTTATTCAGAAATCTTCTTCGCGCAGCTCATCTATAAAATTTCGGTATGAGATGTATTTAATAGAGAACTTCATTTACTATTAAAACTCCAATATGAATTCGAATTAAATGCTAGATATTTAGAGCCTTCCACGAAGTCAAAGAAATTCTTTGTCAAAGATTCAATTTTAACATATGAACTTTTTTGAATAGTAGCTTTTTTTCTGAGATTTTTGTACAAAATGCATTGACACATTTCACTGGTCCCAAAGACGTCTTATCAAGGCCTATAAACATAAAAGAAAATCAGGATCCAACTTTGTTTCGTGCCCGGTTGCTTGTATAAAAGTTAAAAATGAATTGTCTATAAAAGAACTTAATTGAATTCGTACAGAGCTCTATTAATATCGGAGAAAAAAAAATGAAAAATACGCTAATCATATATTTTTGATCAGTATTTTATTTGAATATTAAACTTATAGTAATAATCAATCGACAAACCGGCCTCATCAATCTGATCAATGGTATAAATATAAAAATAATTTTCTTTTTTAATAAATTTTTCTTTTTCTAGTAATTATTCAAAAATATCTCATAGTGAATCATCATCATTAACTCGTATTTAAATAAATTATTTCATAGTTAAATAAAGTCTTTACTTTTTATTTTTTTATCCTTAGTTTCAAATAGTAGTTTATCCGGTCGAAATGAAACACGGCATCATTTATCTTCATCATTAAATCATGATTCAATTAATCATAAAAATATAATCAAATCTGAGGCAGATAAGAATGCAAATACTGAACGTATTCATGATTGGCTTATGCAAAATCATCATTCAAATGCACATGATGATGAAATCAAAGAATATCCTGAAGAACAAGTATTATATTTGAAACAAATAGAAAATAAAAAGAAATTAAATGAAATTGCTACTTCTAATGAAAATTCTTATCATTTACTTAAAAAAACCTTTCCAACAAAAATCATTCCACTTGAATCAGATTCTTCATTTATTCAAACAGATATACGTTTACAAGTTTATTCATCTCAATCTAATCAATTAATCAATACAATATGTTTACCATTTCCAAAATTTGCTAAAATTTTAACAAAATCATCAAATATTTTGAATGTATTTGATTCGAAAACACATTTCAAGGATTTATCATTCGAATTAAATAATCTTTCAACAGAAAAAAATTTGATTTATACAAATCAAAATAATGAAGATTTATCAATACATAAAGAGCTTGATGAAAGAATAAGATTATTAGATGAAAAAATCGATGAATTTAATCGAAATAGTTCATTGGTATCATCAGCGATATTTTCTGAAAAACAAAATCAAACAATAGCAACAGCACATACTCAATGTATACAAACTGAACAGAATACTATTTTGAATGCTCAACAAACTATACCATGTAACTTTTCATTACCGACTATATCGCATGCATCTGATCCAACATTATCCATTCATAGTGCTCTAACAGCAACAAATTCTAATACAATGTAAGATTTATTTGAAATAAAAAAGTGAATTTTCTATTGAATACACAGAAGAAAGTACACATTTGAATCTCCCAATATCTTTCAGTATTGAAGATACTGACACATATTTAAAATTAGGCTAGAAACCAAGATAATAGCTACGATTGAGAATCATACTATTTTCATTCAATTTTTTCCGTCAATCCAAAACTATTTTTCGAAAATGTAAGGCATTCTCTTATAAAAGTTCACAAAAGTCTTCGACACCGCGGAATTTGAATCTGTAATTGATTTTTCAAAGTTTTTGAGTTCGATTTTTTTCTGTCCGTATAAGTCTATTTTCTGCAATTTACGTACGTTTCATAACGTTCAGTCGTTTGTTTGAAATAAGCATTCATAAACTAAAAGAAATCGTACTCAAATCTTTCGAAAAACAGATTACAGATTTGAATTCCTCAATTTCAGAAACTTTCAGTCAAGTTTTACAGAAAAAATCGTTATTTTCAAAAAAAGTAACTTTGCCTTGATTGAAAAAATTGAAATGATATGATTCTCATCCATAGCTATCATCCTAATATCCAATCTAATATCGAATCTGTATCTATTTCAGGAAAAACATATCGGTCGAAATTTTGTTTTTTTTCCTCAAAGTTTATAATACAAATTCATTTTGATCTAGTTATCACTTTATTTCTTTTCAACTTTTACTTTATTCTCCACTCGTTTGCATTGTTGTATAATAAATAGAAAACCTAAAGAAAAGCGAACAATCAACTGAAAATCTAATATTAGTATTTTTTCATAAATGAATATTTTCTGTCTATATTCAGAACCTTGATTATCTTCCTGAAAGAGAGATTCATAAACAATATAGCTTCAAAAACTATTTATTGACATTGAGATTTTTTTCGTTAAGATCACTTTGCACGAGAATAAATATTTATGCTGAAAATTTTAAATAATCTATCTTTCATTAGTTTAAAAGTTCAAAATGATTTTCTAATGAATACACTCCATCTATTGCATTAATAAAAAAAAAAGCATATTTAATATGTCAACTGGAATAAAAAACTTCAGAAAAACATGAGATTCTAAATAAAACTGTTTGTCATGAATGATATTTCTTAAAAAAAAAGGAATTTGTAGGTCACCTACTACTATACTTCAACCATTGATACCAGCTTCATTTGTTTCACCACCAACATCTACAAATCATTCAAGTCCACCGATATCTAATAATAAATCAATCAGAAATCTTCCATTATCATTATTTGATACAAATAATAATTCAACGGATATCTTACCTATAAAACTTCTCGAACGATTTGATCCATTGACAAAATTTCAATGTAAATCAATTTCATCACTGCAATCTGTTATTTCTAATGTTCCTATGTCATCAAATATCAATGATTCATCAATAATTTCCACTTCAGAATTGATTACATTCAATGGTATCAAAGGAAATCAAAATCATTTGCCATCATCAACTATTTTACATATCTCACAACAGCAAGTTACCGATGATTTCGCAAAACCAATTGTTCTACAATCAATATTAAAACGACCTTATAATTTATCACAATCAACATCAAATGAAACTTGTAAAATAACTGAGATACTATCAACAAATTCATCATTAGAATCAAATGTCGAACAAACCCTATTATTCGTTAATAAGAAACAATCAATAAATCAACAAACGAATAACCTAGCTACAAATAATATGAATAAACAACAAAATGATATGAAAATATTATCGAATCAAAGGATAACATCAGTTAATAATAATAATAAAAAACCATCTGTAAAAAAAATACTGAAGAAATCAAACACAAAACCTATTGAAACCATAATGAAATCATCAAAAAATGCAACTAAAACATCAATCTTACCACTTGATATTAATATTTCTCGATCAACTACAAAACATCTCAGTCCAAAAACTTTAAAAACTCCTGATCAATTGAATCAAAAAGCAACTATACAATTGAATAAAATTCAAAAAACAAATCTTGAACAAAATTATTATAAGATAGACAAGAAATCTACATCTTCAATCTCAATACAACAAAATAAAACAGCTTTATTAAATAAGACAATTCTAAAACGTAAACAGCAACATCGAAATAATCAAAACAATCAAAAATATTTGACGACAATACAACAAGATCCATTAAAAAAATTCTCAATATCAATATCAAAAATTGATAATAAAAAAAATGAACAAAAATTAATAAAGTTTAATGATAAGAATAAAATCTCAAAAAAATCTACGAATGACATATCAAAAATTAAATTAAAACCACAACAATTAACATCTATGTACGATCGAATTAAAAATCGATCAAAAAATGAACAATATCAAAATAGGCAAGTTAGTTTTATACTCGTATTTTAATAGAAAACCAAAATATTTTCAAAAACAGATCAACTCAATAGAGATCAAACCAGAGAAAAACAACATTTATTTGTTTATGTTTATATTACTAAAATAAATATAAACTCTTTCATTTAAAGAAAACGTATAGAGAAAATTTCAGAATATTATCAAAAGCAGTTGTGCTATTAGAAAGTATTCGCGTATTCGAGAAAGAACTAAGCAATAGAAAGCATGTTTTTGTGAAACACAATCTAAAAGGAGTGTTGAAGTATAGGGGTAAAAATTTGCCATCTCTCTTTTCTCCACAGATCGGAATAGACATTGTCATGGACACGTCATAGATCGTGACAGAAGTTATTTATATTTGATCACGAACCGTATATATGAGTAACGTGTTGTTATAATATATGAGCAACTTCGTTATTGTATTTTGTAGAGATTCAAGTAAAAGAATGATGAAGCAATGTGCCCTAAAACAGATAGAATAAAGCAATCCGTTTATGATTCACAACAGCAGTTCATCGTATTTTATATTTTAATCCCATAGGTATGGGTTCAGTGGGAAATAGCAAAGACTTCAACCTTGAAATTTACTATTTTCTCTCAGACCGGCCTAACAGGCTTACTAATTTTAAGTGAATTAATATTCATTCATCTTCTAACAAAGATTCTAACCTAAATCACATTTTTTTTTCTTATATTTATATAGTTTATTAACGACAAAAGACAAGCATTTATCTCAGCAAAATAAAGATGATGATATTCAAGCAACGAATATGAGTCTATTAAAACAACATGTAATAAATAAAAAATTTAGTTGCTTTTTTTTTTTATATAAAAATTATTATTTTCTTTGATTAGAATGTCATTATAGATTCATCTGAATCAAAAGATGATATGTTAAGAAAAACTAACAACAAAAAACTAATTGATTTTGATAGTAATATATTTGATAGTGAAAAAAAAGATCATAATAATGATAGTAGAATTAGTCAACAACAAATAGAAATAACGAATTTCAATAATGAAGAATTTATTCTCAAAAAGAAAACTATACCATGTAAAACAAATTTTCGATCAAAGAAACGTTCATCGATAGATCAATTAAATATTTCTTCGAAGAAAATAAAATTACAATCAAAAATTTCTTCATTTACCGATGAACAGCAAACAATGACATCTAAAATATCTTCATCGAAAAACTCTTTAAACAATACAAATATTGAAAATATAACATTAAATAAAATTGATACTGATTTTACTAATCATCATAATCATGCAATAACAACAATAGCATCATCAAGTACATCATCAAAATGTGATGATCTTCAATCTATCTCAGTGAATACTAAAGAAGAATCAATACTTTTAAAGCCAATGTTAACGGACAATGAGACACACAACCATCTAAGTACATTTCTTATTTTTATTGAAATTAATTTTAATTTTAATTTTTCAGGTAATTCAATCGATCTCAATTACTATGAAGAAATAAAACCTATTTCATCGACAATAACCGATGAAAATCAGCAAGATAGTTTCAATGAACAACAAATTCTAAATGAAAAAGAACAAAAATCACATCAATTATTATGTCACATTACGGTTGATAAGTCAACATCACCATCTATTGAAAACTCCTCACCTAAAGAAACTATTCAAATCTCTCAACAAGAAATATCCCAGTCGTCATCAATAATATCAAAAGAAGAATCAATATCAACTATTCTTTGTATGTATATTAAATCAATTCTTTTATTCTTGCTAATACTTTTCTCTTCAGGTGAAACTACCGAAAGAACATTAAACGTAACAAATAATTTTCTTTTCGATAATAACAATCGGTGCAACTTACCGATTGATCATCAAGCAGTTATCACAGATACATCAATATTATCAATACCAACTAATCTATCTGATATTAAAAAATCTTCTTGTTTTTCATCATCAGTAATCAATGAAACATTAAATCAATTCGATTGTCGATCAATAACTAATCACGAAGATTCATCTGTACTAATGCGTCTATTTCCACAATTTATCACGCCAGATAATAATTTATTTATTCATCCTCATCAGCATCATTCACATCCATTAGTTGCACAACCACCGTCAAGTAAAACTTGCTGTTTTTTCAAGAAAAAAACATAATCATTTACGAATAAATTTATTTTAGATTCACCACCATTATCAATACGAACATTATCGACAAGTAGCTCTAGTAGTACTATTGGCAATCCTTGTTATAATACAAATATGTCTGCGCAACAATATTGCTATGATAAAGAATCAAGAAGGTACGATTTGTTTTTTGTTAATGCCAAAACTTTTTTCTCAGTTATGATGGAATAGTTGTCATCCTGCGAAGAAACCTCTTCAGCTGTCCTGTTTCAATTTTTCAATGATTTTTTTGCCGATAGATTTTACATCGTGCTCTAATAAAAACCATACAAAGTTTTTTTTCCTATTGAGAATTGACTAAATTATCGAGTTTTGAATATGTCTATTTTCTAAAGGTCCCAAATTTTCAATAAACTGGTATTTTCGAATTTGGATCTGCAAATTTGTGCAATATAAAAAACTCAACTAGATTAGGTTCCGTAGAAAAATTCAGAAGTTTTGAACAAAGTCTCTTCAAAATGCATTTTTGAAAGCCTCATATCTCGAAAAGACTTTGTTCAAACCTTCTGCATATTTCTATGAAACTTAATATAGTTGAGTTCTTTATATGCAGGAAGTTTTATATTGAAATTCCAAAACATGAATTTTCAGAAAACTTGGGTCCTTTAGAAAATAGACATATTTAAAAATGCGATAGCTTACACAAATATGAATAGGAACCTAAATCGTTTTAGTACTTTCATTAGAACATGATGTAATATCTATATGTAAAAAATCATTGAAACTAATAGGGAGCAGGTGAAGAGATTCCTTTCTCAGTCAAAAAAGATCTAGCAATATTTATTGTATTCAACATTTTATGGAATTCGATACCAATTGAACTGAAACTAAAAATAAAGAAAAACTATGCCTATGTTGCATAAAATATTGTTCAGAATCTATCTGTTAGCCATGTAAATTGAATGGATGTAGGTGCGATCAATATTATGTGTCTAGAGAAAACAAACGATTTTTCCAAAATTTCTTCCATTGATGTAAAGCATTTGTTCATTCCATGCTTTACAAATAAGTTTTTCATACTTTTCTTTTGTTCAGAGATTCTATTACAAATTTTTCAACTACATCATCTTTTGATTGTTCAACACCTAATAGTACCATTAGTCAACAGCAATTTTTCGAATCAGGTATGTTTTACACGTTTAAAAGAATTCAATTAATATACACTATTCTAGATTCTATTGCTTCATTTCGAAATCAATTTGAACTCTATGGTTATACTTTACCAGCTCAACATCTGTTAAATTCATTTACAAGTGAATTATGTCATATGAATGAGTTTCAATCTTATGATCCATATAATATTCAATGGAAAGGATATATCATATTGAAAACTAATCAAGCTTATATAAAAACTCAATTTATAGCTGGTAATCCTCAAATAGCACGTATATCAATAAATAATTGGCGCTCTGATATGTATCATAATTTACGTATTTCACAACGTATGCGTTTAGAACATAAACAACTTGATGGTGTACAAAAACGTATGCAAATGGATAATGATCATTGTATATTAATTGCTGAGCCAAATGGTTTAACACCAGATGAAATACGTTGTGAACAAAATTATTTAAAAAATGGTATTATTCAATATTTACATGACAAACAAGCCGCTGGAATTCTTAATATTTTATTACCTGGCCTATTACAACCAGTTTATGTTGTACATATATTTCCACCATGTCAGTTTGCATCAGAAATATTACAGAAACATGCTCCAGATGCTTATCGTTGTGTTGTTCAAAATAAAATTGAAAAAATATATCTATTATTTATTATAACAAGTACCCAACAATAGATCTGTTATTTAAAAAACCTAGAAAATCAGCTGATCATTTTTTTCTTAGTCGTACTTTTATGTATGTGATTTAAAATAGGCAAGCAGTATTTATCTTGAATACTTATGTTGTTTGTTTGTTTTTTTTTGAAGTTTATTCATTTTTTTTGTTGTGTTTCAAAGCTGTAAAAAGTCAAGAATTTAAAAACAATCCTTATACTATTAAACTTCGTCAGTCTGCTGTTCTTTGTTTTTCGTATATTTATTGACATGAAGATTCATTCTTTCATGATCAAAATAGTGTGGTGTTTATCATAATTCATGTGATACGAGCATTTCAAAAAATAATAAATGAGTATCATGAAGGTCACATGAACGCTTTCTTCAATATACTAATTTAAATCGAAAACGTACTGTGTATCCCTATGGGCAGTTATCCATCATTAATGATTAATATTTTTATCGTTTTCGACTCGATCATGCTCTATTATTTAATACATGATTCTCATGTGAATTAGTTCACAAATAAAGAAATAATCAGCATTTTGACACTCGAAAAATCCTTTTATCACATTTTATTAGCGACATAATTGGTCGCTTTGAAGCTTTCATAAACCGATCAATGAAACGATCAAATAAGTTCTGATATATATTTACTCCATACTTTGACAACATTATTACATCTTATTCCATTGTACCAATATTATAGGAATGAAATTAATCATTGTTCAAATTTAAAACAATTTGACGTTTCCAAACGGAACAAATAAATTATTTTTCAGATTCTTTTTTTTTATCATCAACTCACATAATCCCTAATATTTCAAACAAAGTTGATATCATCATTCTTTGTTTATTGACAAAAGTTATAAACAACTGCAATATTGTCTTATATTCAGAGATCCCGTGGAAGATGATAAGTATGTGGTAAAATCATATTTACAGATATTCAAGTATGTGTAAGGCTCTGGGTGTAGAGAGAACGGAAACTCAAACTCATTTTCACCAGACATCCACAATAGCGATTGTGTTTCAAAGAAGTGATTAGTTAATGTATGTGAACAAGCCTTTTCTTCTGTACGCTAAAGAAAAAAGCGAAGGTCCATAGTCTCACTATTGGCAATTAATCAGTTGGTTCAGATTAGAAAATCTTTCTTTCACAAAGAGACAGAAATGACAGTCATGAATTTTCAAATGAAAATACTGCAGTTTCTTTAGTTTATCATTCTGAGATAACTTCTTATGCAAACGTATATATGCACAGAAAGATCAATGCCGATGAAAAGTACATGACATGCAGAAATCTGATAGGTTCGATTTATAACTACAGAGCAGATAACGTCATGATGCGAAAGATATTTCTCAGTTAGCCTTATTACTAACCATACGAGCTACAGTGACAGAAAAGCGATGGATTGACATTTGTTCGAGGAAAGCTCAATAAAATAATTCACAAAAAAATCAAAAATCACAATAAATAAGGATGATTTTACTGCAAGTGCCGATAAAAAGAGTTATTCAGTTATGAAAATAATAATACGTGCGATAAGGTTCGAGTGAATTTAACGAGTATCTACTAGTGAAACAGATGAAACAGTCGAAGATGATAAATAGCGTCTAATTGTCATTGAAAATGTTTATGAAAGCGTTGCTCACTCTTAATTCGAAGGACTGATGATACATGATGAACACAGAAAAATCATAGAAGATGTCTTTTATCTCATTGTTAGCTTTCTTCAAAATAAATGCAAGTTGATTTTGTTGACTGTGAAAAGCAAAGAGCAAATTTTCTTTAATTTTTCGAGAGTAGCCAGATATAGTCGATTTTTTTATTATATATATTTGAAAAAAACAGTCAGGATTACTCATTATAAAATTTTCTTAACCTTTTTTTTTGTATTTGCAGATTTATTATTGTCAATTTATTCAAGTGAATTATTACGTTCAATGAACTCTACATGTGTGTACATGATATTCATTCAACATTTGACATAATCTTCCCAAATCATATCTAAATCATATTCCTTTTCTTGATCAAATTTTTCTGCTTCTTGTTTCTCTTGATCGAAATTTTCTTCTTGTTGTTTTTCTTGATCAAACTTTTCTACTTCTTGTCTCTCTTGATCGAACTTTTCTTCTTCTTCGTTCTCGTGATCAAGTTTTTCTTCTTGTTTTTGTTGAAGACTCGTATGTTCTTCTATTTCAGTGCATTCCTGTGCCGTTGACGAACATTGGTCGTTATTACAAAAAACGTCAAAACAGTTCAATGTGACCACAAGTTTAACGACACTAAGGATCATATGTTGAAGAGAACTTGATAAACACATAAATTTTAAATAAAACAATGATGTTGGTACAATCAACAATGTATTTGCATCCTACGTAAACAAAAAAGAAGAAAATATATTAGAATCCAAATAAAGTACACTCATTTTTAAGATGTTTGATACCGATACTTTTGTTGATTTCGAGAGGATCATAAAAATAAGACAACTAAATATGAAACTTAGAAGATGAAGCACAAATGATAGTGGCTTCATAAAGGCAGTATCCTGATATATTTTGATGAAGTCAAGAACTCTTGTCATATTAAACAGTATGGAGGACATGATAATTATGAAAACCCAACAATAAAGAATAGCATAAGCATGCATCTTATCATATTGTATTTGAGTGACTGAATTCGACTCATTTTGAATTGAATGTTCAAATTGTCGAAGTTGAATAAAAGTCGATCCAACGGCATAAATCATTACAGGTAAGTTCATTCCAACTACTATAATTGAAATCTTTGCCAGTTCAGTTAACTATGATTATGGGCATATGTAAATAATTAAATTTTTATTAAAAAAATCTTACTAAATTTCTTGTCATTAGCGAATCATTCAATGATTCGTCGAGAACGTTTTCGATTTCTTCATCCGTACATGTCGTCGTATTTTCTAGTTGATGAAGCTGATACTTTTTTTTGTCATCGTTATTTATTGAAGAAACAAAGATTTCGACTTCTTGTACATCCTTTAAGCTTGCTGGAGCAGCTACAACATTCATTGTGGCTGAAAAGAATGCTCAGCCAAATGTATATGAACAAGTATTTCCCTCATCTTCTCTGCCACTATATATATCTATGTAGGACAAGAGGGCAAAGTTCAATCGGCCACATAACTGAGTATAAAGCATGGGTTGAAAATATAACATCACCCTGACCTCTAGGTCAAACTTATATATAACTTATTCTCAAGTTCATTATTATTAAACAACTTTTGTTTAACAAAATATCATCACACGACAATCAGTCTGAATTAGCGAAAATATGTTCATAGTAGACAAAGACATACAGTAAAAGACGCCATTGCTTGTAAACAATCGGACACATATATATGTCGTATCGACGTTACGTCGGTTGACGAAGTTACAACTCCGGCAGACAAAATTGATGAAGTTGTAACTTCGTCGCATATTTGTATGGTTCTCCTGGAAAATGTTGAAAATAAAAATATCGAAAATAAAAATATCTAACTATATAAATGTTCAAAAAAAATGTCGTGAAGAGAGGAGCGAGGATAAGAGATAGGCGAGGAAGTAGGAGGGGTGTGCATGAAGTGTGAGCCTTGATCGTCCGGTTGTGTGAAGGGAAGTCATCCAGAATCACACTCATACATACACATCAATATCAGAACACCCCCACACATACACTCACATTAACACCAATATACACATCTCCATTCACACCCATCCCCAGCGCCTCACAAATACCATACATTCACACCTACACCCTTCACCCTCACCTTCACCTTCACCCATATTGACATCCACGCCCACAACATCATCCACATCAATGCCCCGCCTCATATTCACATCCTTTTCAACATTTTTACTTTCGGCCAATTTCAGGTTTACCATTTGTGTCTAAGTTACTTCAATTCAACTGAATGGCAAATAATTATCAATTAATTGACGATATTATAAAAAAAAATATTTTGATAGTTAGTTTTTCATTTTAAAAATACATATACAGATGTCTTTTGTAAGAATAAATATAAAAGAAATTATTTAGAAAATTGAGCATTACTTTTTGTTAAATTTGTGTATGATTAAAGATCTATTCTGGCAACACTACGATCTGTAATTAATGGAAGACGTCTTTGGAATACTATGTTCTAATTTAAATAGCACAAAACGGTATAATTAGAATAGCTCTTAGAATATATTGTACTCCGAAATGTTTTGCATTTTTTGCTCTGAATGCCAGTATTTATTTTGACATGAAATGCAAAAACCAAAAAAGAACATTAATGAAGCACCTAACTGCAAGCAAGAAAACGACGACAAGCGTCAAGATTAAAGCAAAAGAATGTGCTCAGATGCAGAAAACCTATTCCGAGCTGTGTTTTTCTTCTAGTGCAGTCAAAATATGACATACCACAAAAGAGAGATCTACATGTTTGAATATATACAATAAATTCAATAAATAAATTCTTGTGACAACTTGCCGATCGCATTTCAAGGCCACAAGGTGCTCTTACTGCTTTACCTATTACTATTCTTATGATCTTTGCTTGAGATTCTCTTCTCTGAGATTGGTTTCACTAGTACAATTTTTATTGAACTAAAACTTAGTATTCACCAATTCAATTAGATGAACTCTTTGCTTGATTCAGTGTGAATCTGACTCTGATGAGCATTTAACTTGACGTTGCATGTAGTATTTTTCTTAATAATAAAAAGCTACAGTGATATTTAAATTAGAACATAGTATTCTAGAGATCTCTTGCATTAGGTACAGACCTTACTGTCGTCAGAATAGTTCTACAATGATATATAACGTGGAAAAAAAGTAATGTTTCATTTTCTGAATGATTTCTTCTATATTTATTTGTAAAAAATGATGTATATATTTTTAAAATAAAAAGTTAATCATAAGTATATATGTACATTTTACTTTTAATATCATCAAGTTATTGATAATTATTTCATGTTTAGTTGGATTAAAATAACTTTGATAGACTTTTTTCTCAAAGTTGTAAGCTTGTCAAACGCTAACGTCGAAATTACAACGCCGTCAATTTTGCCTGACGAAGTTGCTATTTCGTCAAAAATGTTGACGACGTTACAATAACGTCGTACGGTATGATCTCAGTATCACATATATTGAAAGAACCGAATATATTTTATAGATATCTTTACTTAAGTAGATGAGCAATCCAAGATATTCCTCATTAACTACTTTTAAGAGACATGTATTGATTTTACTTCTTAATCGACTAATAACGTGTGAGACAGATAAATGCACGAAGAGATTATAATGTCATGTTATTTTTTATTGTATATATGACACAAACTGACGGAGTTATCTTTGTACAACAAAGCTTCATTTAATTAATTGAAGGATTATCCATTTATACTTTGATTTAAGAGTATGGATGAAGAGATGACCTAGATATGTTAAAGTAATTGATTTATTAAATGAGGATGTCCTCAAAGAATTCGAACTAAGTAAATTGCAATATATTATATGATAGAGGAAGTTTTATAGATATTGCGCCCTATGTGATATCATCGCTACTGTTTAATTTATTGATATAGGTGCTTTCATAAGTCAGAATATAGTCTTTTAAATGAAAAACAAATTAAATTTCTACGATATTCTGGAGTGGAATATCGTTGTACAAGATTTAAACAACTATGTTTGGATTATAGACTGTATATGCTAATCAAGGAAGTGCTTTAGCATGCCTTACTTGTTTCCTACATTTAAGAATTTGTCTTTCATGAGATCTCTCTATATATATGCGTGGGTACTGATTCAAGCACCTAAGTGTTTTTTTGCTTCTATGCTGTATTGCTCACTAGCGACATGAAAGAACTTTTGTTATTTAAAAGAGGACGATGTGAAGCAACAAAGATTTTCATGTCAATAATGTGAAAAAACATATTATTTGCTTTAGATTTAATCGATTATAGATCATATTTAAGACTTTTGATAATTTTTCATAACAATTATGTCACGAGCGGCAGGCACTCTACAAACAACTTACAATGCTAGTATGTATTCTAAGTGACATATTGTCTTATATCTATCTTTATGTTTAATATCTTAGCTTATTATCCACCGTCACTCATGCCAGGTTATCGAGGTAATTTAGTAAATTTGCAAAATAAAAGAAACAACTAATGAAACCTTTATTTTTAGGACATGTTCCAACTACTCAATTTCAATATGGTGAAACATTTGGTAATGCAACAGCAAAATATTTTCAAGATTATCGAAGTGAAGCACTTAATTCATCAAAAAGTCTTTATGCACGAGGTTGTTTCTATCTTATTTTTTTGTTGTTGAATCTTTTCGAATGTCTTTTTTACTCGATCTAATTTTAGGTGGATATTTTCCAACTCCATATACTCATCAACCAGAACTCGTTATGAGTGATCGTCGTCGTAGTCGTGATCAATATCTTTATCTACCAAAATATGCACTTAATAATACAAATGTTGATAGAACAAATGAAATACGAAAATTTTATCAAGTTAATTCGTGTTTAATTAATTTCAATTAAGGTATAAGAGTTTTATGTTCTAGCTTTCTCAAGAACATCGCGATACATATACAGATCGAAGTGGTACTTTACATCCTGTTGAATATTTTACATTACCTGTACCAAATGAAAGAATGTATGAAGCTAATTTACCATAGTGAGTTAAAATGTAAACTTTTCTTTTTCGAATTATTCTTGCTTTTTCCCTATATCTAGTTCATCAATATTACTTCGTCATACATCGGACATTAATATTCCGGTTAATCGAAATTTTCCACCAATAAAAGAAGTAGCTAAACAATCAGATTTTAAATTATTTCCTCCATCTACTCAAAGTTCGAATAAAATTCATGGTGGATTAGAACAAAAGCAACAACCAGCAACAAATTCATCGCCAACTGTTGATTATCTGTGTTGATTATAATTAATCATAGAAATCGTCATAAATTGTAATCGAACTTTTCAATTTTTGCTTCTATTTTTTTCATGTTAAATTTAATTCAATAAGCTAATATTAAAATGTATATCTTATTTAACTATGATACTGATCATATAAACAATTAATATCTGTTCTTTTAAATTTTAAGCATAGGCCAGAAATGAATTTTTGCTCAACAAATGAAGTAGACTTAAAGTATTGTTGAATCAATGGACATAATCTCCATTTATTTCAAATCATGAACTTTGTCGATCAAAGATAACACATGATGCTAAAAATGACGTAGAAAAGAATCGGATAGGCTTTTTTTAACAAAAAATAGAGCTGATTTATAAACGAATGACTTCAATTGAGTATTTCAGGCTATAGTAAATTAATAGACAAATATTTTAAAAACAATAATAGATTTCATTTTCATTTGAATTCTTTTTATTTATGCAAGGTTTTTATGCCGCTCGGAAGCGCTTACAATCAATCTATGAAGCAGGTACAGTTGATGAAGATAACTTAAGCAGAACATCTATTGCATTCAAACGAAGATAAGTGATATACTGCTTTGCTTTGGGCACAAACCGTATCTTTTCCATAAAGTCGTAGCAAGAGAGATGAGAAGAACGAACAGCATAAAAAAAAGAAGAGAGAAGCGAAAAACCAAAAAAAAAAGAAGGAGAGCATTACAAGTGAGAGCGAAAAAAGAGAACAAAATAGGATAGAAATAGAGAATAGAAGTATTGAAGCAAGTTATTACAATATGTTAGACTTTTTATCCTTATTGATCGTGTTACTTTGAGAATCTTTGATGAACGAAGGTCACGTTACGAATAACACCGATGTATCTCATTAATTTTTTTAACACGTAACATGTAATAGGGTGTCTGATTCAGAATCTTTTATAGTTTTCGACCTTGAGGGTACTCTTATCAGTGACTATGTCTAATTAGAACACATTGGAAAGAAAAAATGGCCCTCCTATACCTGATTCGTATCTTTTTGCTATTCATTTTTGTTAATACTTAAACACATAGTGTTCGATCGTTTTTTTTTTCTTTAATGTAATCAAACAAATCATTCACATCTATGAAAGGACAAGGATATACCTATCGATGGTTTGTTGCATGCTTTTGACGAAAAAACCACTGTTGCATTTCAGACAACAGAGAAAATAATGGAAAAATCTATGTAAAAAGACGCAGGAGTATATAAAAAAAATCATGTTCTCAGTGCTTGGGTGAATATATCTTTGTTGCATTTAAGTCACTTTCGTTTAATGTCGAATTTCTGGATACTCTCAAGACATTTGTCAACAGTAGGTTTTAAAGATAGTTTTTCTGTCCACCTAAAATTAGATATTTGAATGATCATACAATTTCGAATTGTTTCGAATTCATGTGCATTCCTACTTATGATTGTTTTACTTGTGAATGAAAGATTTGCATGACTATTTTGGAGATATTTATGAACTACTTCCATTGACGAGGGCATTCACACAGCTTTTGATGAACTTGTAATAATTTTATGTTGATAAAGGTAATCATATCGAATTGAAGACATGATTATAGTGCGAAGATCATCGACAAAGAGATGGATAAGGAACATACCGATACACAGGAAGCCATATCGACGTGAAAAATTACGAAGATAACACTATTTCAAGAGCTGCCTTGGAAGAGACCTACATATATTCTGAGCACTTCATACTTATATGTACGAAACACTACGTATGCTTTTCTGTTAACTAACGAGCTCATTAGAAGTTTTACAATTTCTAGCAGAATTTGCAATCAAAATAGCTTGACAATTAACCCCATATACCGAATCACATCGTATGCATTCTTATAATTCATAAAAATACCTAGAGTAGCAAAGTTTTCGACTGAATTCTTTTTACATTTCTTGATACATCAACAGAATTTCTTGTTTATAGTAGACACTCTTTTCTAAAGCATGATCGTTTCAAAAGAATGATGTGATTGGCATCTGCTTATATTTTCACTCTATCTCGTTTGATTTTCTGTTAAATATAAATGATAATATTAGTTTTTAGTAGATGTTAAATATGTCATCATGTGTCTTGAATTATAAAAAAATAAAATTAATAGCGAGTATTAAAGCAACTTATTTATTAATATAAATGTTCACGCTTTATTTCAGTAAGAAAAAAAATGGATGATCTTATTGTAGAATATTATATTCCGCTAAAAACTAAGAGAAAAAAAGCTGAAAAACGAAATGATAGTAATTTATGTATTCAAACATCCGTATATTCAGAAGTTGTAGTTGACACAACTTCACTTTCCTCGAATGTGTCCTCGTTTGTCATGTCTGTAATAGAAAACGACTCCGAATCGTCGTCCATAATACTAAATTCTGTATCAGATGAAACTGAACTAATCGTCGACGGAGATCTTGTTAAAGTTTCTCGTGAGATAATGTTTTTATATTTAGGTTCTTCAAGTTGAAAGGGTATAGGAGAAAAGGCACGAATAGGTTTCTCCTCTTCTTGGCTTGATTCTACTTCTTCGTTTGATTCCACTTCTTCGTTTGATTCCACCTCTTCGTTTGATTCCACTTCGTCCACTGAATGAAAATCAATAGACGTGGATGAACTATTTTGTTTATATGCTTCATCATTAGAAATATTTGATGATACACTAGAAGTTGAAAGTGTGATTGAATCTTCATCATTAGAAATATTTGATGATACACTAGAATTTGAAAGTGTGATTGAAT